CACACACACACACACACACACACACACACACACACACACACACACACACACACACACACACACAACCGCCCTACCACTCCCACCTGCTCGCTCCCTCCCCCATTCTGGCCTTCTCCCTCCCGATTGCTCCCGGCCGGCTTCTTGACGAGTTGTTGTGTTTTTTGTATTTTTTTTCACATTTGGGCTATTTCTCTATTTATGCGTGTCATCCTTGCAAAGAGGCCATGCTAGTCCTGAAGGACAAGTACGGACACAGGGTACTATTTTTTTTTTGCGCCCCGTTTTCTGAAAGTTGGTACCCTGTATCCGTAGCATAACACACGTCCGTTATATTCTAATAGAACACACCCCGTGCATTCTATTCATAATTAACTAACATGCGTTTTGTCCGGGGGAAGACCGTAGTTTGTACCAGGAACTTCTGTAAGAAACTCTGTACCAGGTCGAAAACATTCTCGAACATGGCTTCTTCTGTACTGATCGAAGAGGAAGGCCACAAAAGCAGTATAAGGTAAAGTTCTCTAGCCAGCCAGAATCTGAAGCAAGATGGTTTAGCAAGAAAGATCTGTTACCTACGGGCCCTGATATAGTTCTGCATATGAATGGGGGTTAAGAGAAAACCAGGCCTGAAAGAATAATTTCTGCGGTGGAACTTGAAATCGGGCCGGATGGAATGTAATGAACTCCGTTCAGATCGGCACAGACGCGGGCAAGGGTCGTCACTTTTGGTCAAAGGCCAGAAACAGGGGTCAAACGTCGTGTCCGAAGTCTGAAAAATGTCTGAGGAAGTGCCTAGGCCCAAGGGGTACCAAAGTCTGAGCCAAAAGTTGTGTCCAGTACCCAATGTGAGGCAGTTGACTCTTGGAAAATCAAGAGTCCACCCAAGCATGGGATTCCAGGCCCAAAGTCAAAGTCAATCCGCTGGTCCGCCACGGCCATCGATAAGAAGCACATCATTGGTTGTCTGCAGGTATCCAGAAGATTCCAGTCCAAATGGGACACAAGGGAAACTGGGAGGGTCTCCCAGGGAAGCCGGCTTATCCTGGCGCCAAGTCACATAGTGCAGTTTCGGGCCCGGGGTTACCCGGGAAAGTCAGGGTCTTCTCGCTCCCGATTGTTTTTGCACTGGAGTCGAGCATGGTCATGCTTTGGAACCAAAGGACATGGTGTGCATGGAAGGGAATGGATGGAAGCAGATGTTCGGTTCCACCAAAGACTGAACGCTGGGCGGTTGGCTGATGGCCTACTTTCGTGATTGATTAGTTCATTGGCTGACACGTTGACCAAAACGCAACTGCTAGATCTTCCCAAATGCTGGACGGTCAGCTGATTATCTACCTTCGTGATCGACTAGTTGATTGACTGACGCGTCGATTGCGGGCTGCTGCTAGTCCTGACTGCTTTGGAAACAAAGGACATAGCATGCATGAGAGGGAATGGATGGAAGCAGAGGTGCGGTTCCGTCCTCGAGGATAGTCGGTGCTTAGATTGCAGCTGCTTAAGACTGAAATGTGCGGATTCGCTGGATGCTGCATCTGGAAAGGGAGGAAGGGAACTAGGATGTTAAGTTGGTCGGGCTCCCAGCAGCGGGGCTGAAGAGGTCCCCGTTGCCAATTCCTCTCACGTGCATCCTTTCACCTGCTCAGTCAATCCCCTCGTTTCAGGGTAATCAATGCTCGCAGGATGTCACTGTGCTCAGATGCTGAATCGTCCGCAGGGACGCTGGAGCCATTTTCCAGCAGGTGTGGAATGGTAGGGTAGAGGATAACTAGAGAGGTTGAGGGTTTAACGGAATTGCAAGACAGACAGGAGTCTGTGGCGAGCAAGGGCTGGTAAGCTTAAGATAGGCAAAGTAAAGAAAGTCAAGAAAGGGATATAACGTATCTTTTCTGCTCCGTGTTGATTGCTATAGAGGTAAAACTATTTCATTGTTCGAATGACCCATCTCATGTGTGCTTCGTTGTCTGCAATAGAGATAGAGCTCCATTGAAATTGGATCTTCTTGTCTGGGTGGAACATGGGATGTGATGGTGAACATCCACAACACGCACACACACGTATGCATGTACGCACCCTTGCTTGCACCATGTTCCTCCTTCACGGTGCGTTTCTGCCTTCTTGCATGCTACTCGCCACCTACGTGCCCTCCACTACTTGCCACATGCCTTCCTTCTCCTCACTGCGAGCACGTTCTCCCACTCTGCACGCTTCTCCCACTGTTGCACGTACGTGCGCGCCTCTCTCCCTATGCACGCTTGGTCTCTCTACCCTGGCCATGCCTCCTCGATTGCGCACCCTCTTCTCTTCCGCGCGCTTGCCTCCTCTTGTAGACGCACCCTCCTCCTACCGCTTTGCTGCGACATCGAAGACAACGAGATGTGTCTCTGATACCACTGCAACGATCCGACTTAGATCAAGATCCTGCCTGCCCGCCTTTGTGCTTCAATTTTTATGTGAACATTGCTCTCAAGATCCAAGTCACAACGGCATGATCCACACAAAATGGTATACAGAGAGCTTAACTTGAAATGATATAGAATGTTATACATAGGTTTCTCAAGGTCAGTGACTATGGCCGCCAGCAGCAACAACAAACAGGTAAGTTCCTCTCTGTTTCTCACTCTCTCTGCTATCACTACTGCACACTGGTCCTGTGATCCCTGTTTGACTATCCTCACTGCTTTTCATCTCTTCCTGCCTGCTCAACTACAGCTATGGTGTCCAGTGCTGTCAACCACTCTCTCACAAGGCACTGTTCACACGTCTAAGATCTTGGCACCCAGTAACACAGCAGTGCGTTTGCATAAGCCAGAATCGAAGAGGAACCAGATCCTGGTGCTGCCCTGGCTTTTTTGCATCTGCCTGCCTCTACCACATGAGTCCTGACCCTCTCGTGCCATGCCGTGCGGCGACTGACAGAGATTCGGTCTGCTGTGGGCTTCCCTGGGACTGAGCTGCAACTGGACCATGATTGAACATGTGGGGACTCCCTACCTACTGACTACTAGGGACCTCTACTGTTCCTACTGGTCTTGTCCTATCGGGTCCGCATCTTGGCGTGTGGTGTATCTACCGTAAGTATCTACTGCAGCCCGATGATACAAAGAAAATGGGACATGGTAATGGGGCTGTACTGCTGCAGCGTGTAAGAACCTTTCAAAGGTGCGAGGATATGGGTCCTCGGCAGGCCTAAGGGGCCCCTTGCAGCATATGTGCCTGCCCTAAGTGAAGGCGGGCCTAGCAAATCACGAGAGGCCCTTGGTTGTCAATTTCGCATTTGGGGGTCCAGGCAGTTTCGTCGCGGCAGTTGGTTGAAGGAAAACACAGGCCGAGCAGCGTGGAAATTCCCAGGCCTTCTAGGCCTTTCCAAAAGCTCAGGCCCTGGGCCAGATTCGCAGCCTCATACACAGACAGTTGGGAGGCCCAACCGAATGAGGCCCAGTAGCTGCACGAGAGGCGCAGCATCCTGGGGCCTACCGGAAGCTTCTGGGCCCAGGCCAGTCCAGCCAGACTGCCGAATGAGGCAGGCTCTTTCCATATAGGAATGCCTGGCGAGGGTATTCGGGCACTTGCTGGCTGGCGGCAGCGCTGCTGGAGCGATAGCTCGCGTGCTGGCTGCGGGCATTGGAGCAAGAGGCTGCGCACGTGCGGTCGTGTGGTGAAGCAGGGCGCTGCTGAGGGCAGCGCCATAGCCCAGCCTCCATAGCTGGCTGTGGGCTTGGACATACAGTGAGGCGCAGGGGTGGTCTTCGGGTGTACAACAAAGGGAGACGTGGGAGAGAGTCAAGGGGGAGAGAGAAGGATGATGATGATGATGATGTGAGGGCACATACCTGGTATTGGCGATGGTTCTGCATGGGCGACATCTTCAAGTACTTCGGGCGCTGCTGATGTCAACAGTTGCATTGTCAATTCGTAGGCTAGTAGTAGTTGTGTAGGGACTAGGCTGGGCGCAGAGCGCCAGGTAGGGAGATAGAGACTGGATACATATGTGGGGGTGGCGAGAGCAAGCTCTCATTGACATTGACTTTCAGTGCTACGATTCTCCATTGGTGTTATATTGGTGCAATGCTGCTTCTTGAACACTGTGTTACGATTTGGCTTTCAACATGATTGTGCAATCTGAATATTGTCATCTCGCTTCGGATCATTTTCCTTGCAAAGGGGACAAGCCTGGTCTTCACTGTTTGGCCCTGGGACCCCTGGCTGTCGTATCAAACACTACATCATCAAATAACATAGTAGAGTAATCTGTCACTAACATGGCCTCCACCTTATCATGGCTGATTCCTTCCCCAGGTAATAAGACACCAGGAGAAGCAACTTCCAAGGGCAGTTGGACCTAGAAGCACCCACACAGATTTCAGATTGCAACCAGGGACTCAGTTTCTTCGGACATGATGGAGGTACTCATAGGGAGAGTTTATCATGTAAGGGATGCTGAAACCGATTTTCAGGAAATTAAAAGAGCACACACCATGATTGGTATGAGGTGTCCACCGGTTTCACAGAAGTGGACTGAGAGGGATTATCTCCTTGCTGTTGTCTAGTGTGCTGGATGCTGAGGGGTAGCATAGTGGATAAGCGAAGAAACGTAGTCCCAAATAGTGAGCTTGAAAAGGTTAAAGGAAGAAGGGGTGGAGCAGTAGTACATCATTCCTGAGAAAGGAAGTAACCAATGCTGCTGTCTCTGGATCTTGATTAACGAAGGGAGGCGTTTCTAATGTAATGGATACAGGACTAAGTTTCCAGGCTTCTTAATAAACACTTTAAAAAAAAACTTTGAAAAAGTACATTGCTGCTGGTGTTTCTTTTGGGTGTTGTTGTTGTTCTTTAATTGGAGAAGAGGAAAATAATTGTTGGAGAAAAGGGAAAAAGAGGGATGTTGGAACAGTGGCAGCATTGGGATAGTAGTGCTGGTACGAGTATTTGGGGGAAAAAGGAACAGGAGATTAACAGAAGGGAGAATATACCCCCACCTCTCATGGAGGGATGCATGCTGCATGCCTCCCCAGGAGAGGGGGAGCAAATATGGGCAGTTGACTCTTAAAAGGAGTTATGATTGAAGTAAGCGAATATTGGGTTGGACTTTAGGGGACAGCAAGGGCCCAGGGGTGGGGTAGGAGCAGTACTGCATACCAGCCAACCACTGACCCCATCCACCGATGTTCCACAGCCTATCAGCAGGGCCGAGTGGTTGGCGGTCTGCTAACCAGTCACTGGAGGGTCGTCCACTGTTTTTTTTCTTAATCCGAGTTTGATGCTGTACTGCACTTGCTGAGTACATTCCAAATCCACTGAGGAACTTCAGTTTTGGGGAGGGTTTTTGCGGTGGGGGGCAGAGGGGAGGGAAACCGGGGGGGGAGAGGGGGAAGGGGGTAGGAGGATGGTTAGGGGGCGTAGGGAGGAGAGTGGGTAGAAGGGTTATGGAGGTGTCGGGGGATGGTTATGGGGGAGTTACTGGGGGTTAGGGGGGTTATGGTGGTCCAACTTTTTTTTTTTTTGACGGCGTGCCCACTAGCATCTGGCCGGTAGGTGCCAACAGGCGGATTGGCGACTAGCAGCTGGCCGGTAGGTGCCAACAGGCGGATTGGTCGGCTGCCCAACATTGGTATGACTACACTGGGTCGGAGTATAAATAAAAGACGGAGAGGAGGGGAGGTAAGGAGATAAGAGGACATATGAGGTGTATAACATAGGTAAAAGAATCTGCAGCTGAGTTTGAGGGCTGGCTGAGGTCATTTAAGGACATCACTGTAGCGTGTCTAGGTACTACACGGGAGCTTCCTGGCCAGCAGAGGTGCCCTGGAAGGCCCCAACAGCACCCTGAGTTCATACTTTGGCCTTCCGCGTCTGCCCAGGAAGGGATGAGAACGCCACACTTTTCCTATGTTCTCCTTTCTGGAAGTCGTGCTTGCTGGTAATGAGCAACCGGGCTGCTGCCCCCCAGAACAGAAGGGGGGAATGAGCAGGCTTGTGTGCAAAAGGGAAAAAACAAAAACAAAAAAGACTAGTTTTTTATGCTTGCATCTGGTGCTTGCCGCTCAAGGGATTCCATTTTGTTCGATTTCTTGTCATTGAATGCAGATTATACTAATCAATATAGAAGAATGGCGGTGTGTGTGGACGATGCAGCCGGAGAACCTCATGCTTATGGAGATGTCATGGCCCTCATGGAAGAGCTCATACCTTTTCAAGAGGGGTTGTTGAGATCCACACAGGTCATGTTTCTCCATGGAGATCACAGATACAAGAAACTTGCAGCAATTGCTGATGTTCTCCATGACTTGACAAGGAGGCTTCTAGAAGTATGCCGACTTAATGGCGATGGTTCTCAACTGAATGAAAGAATGATGGACATGCGTCATCGCCATTTACAGGGAATCAGCCAAAGTCATCGTAAGTGGAGAGGGGTTTGGGGCACAGTGCAGATGTTTCTGATGCGCCGATACTTGGGCAAGGAACTGACAAAGCTCCAGTCTGACCTCAAGATGTTCCTTGACAAGCTAAGCACTTTCCCGGTGCAGAAAATCCATCAGACTAAAACAGTAGGACTCGATAATAGCACGCGGACATCCCTGGATGCTAGTCATGGAGGTCCTGAGAATAGGCAACGATCATTACGGGGCTTGGAGTCAGCAATGAGGGGGGCAGTTACGCTGTCTTCTGCTTGCTCGGTCTTGCGTGATATTCTGGAAGAGGAGAAGGAATGGCTGGACCAGTATGCAAAACAACCCCAAGAGCTGTTAGAGGATCTGGACTGCTTGTGGACAGCGAAGAGCGGGCCGGAAGTCCTTTGCCTCCATGGCGCAAGTGGCGTAGGGAAAACTGCACTTGCGATGGAAATTTCCAAAAGCGAGGAGATGAAAAGAGAGTTTTCTAATGGCATCTTCTTTCTCACTTGTGGGCAGCACAAGCGTGGGCATGATGTCATCGATATGGTGCGGCAGTCGGTGTGGAATCAGAAGTATGGCTGCCGTAGACATTCTAATAGTCAACAACGGTGCGTTTTCTTTAACAAGATTGAAAGGAATGTTGCGTTGCAAAGAGAGATGAAGGGGAAAAGAGCTCTGATCATCGCAGATGACGTGTGGACCACTGATCAAATAGAATGGGTTGAAAGCCTGCTACCCGCGAGCTGCAGTGTCATCATTACAACGACAAACAAAAGTGTGATTGCCACACTTCGAGCCGCAAATGCCTATCTTGTTGAAGCCCTGAAACAGGAAGAGGCGTACAGCTTGTTTTCTCATTGTGCTTTTCAAGATGAGCTTCCACCTCCTGATATCCAAGCAATTTCATTAAAGGTCTGCAAAGAATGCTATGGACTCCCTTTAGCCTTGCGGGTGGTGGGCTCCAATCTTTATTCGAGACGCTGGGAGATGGCAGCATGGGAGAGTTGGCTCAACTTCTTTGTGCATCGCATGAGTGCAGACCAGTTTCCATCCCAGAATGCAGGCAGTTGTTTGTCCAGGGGTTCTGATCTTGCTATGGAGGCAGTACAACGATCTATCAATGATGCTTGTGGAGGCTCGAAAATGGGAAATCTTGATATGGTTCTTGATCTGGCCGGTTTTCCACAGGGTGAAAAAATACCACGGGATTTGATTGAGGCATGGTCGTCAATCTATCCATCAGTAAGTGACTTGGAGACTGCGAGACATCAGATGAATGAGTTTATCAGACTCTGTCTGGTGGAAGCTCATGGAAATGGTTTTGTGAGCTTGAATAGCACAGCTCGGCAAGTGATTCTTCATATTATCAGGTCAGGAGCAGAATCATCAGTGTCCCTAGGAGGGTATGAGGACGGTGATGGAGCAGCCACAGGGAGCATGGCAGCTGTTGTTCAGCAAGAGCGCATCCTTCTCCTTGGTGACGAAGAAATCATTCCGCTGGATCTTGCTACGTTCGAACACGTGAGGAAGTTGTCATGGATACAGTCAGACTTCTTGACGCTGACGAATGTTCCATTATGCACTCTGCCTCACTTGGTGAGTTTTTACTGGGTTTGTCCTGGAGATTCCACACGCGCATACGATGCCAACAAGGCATCTGTCACGGTGACTCATGTTTTGGAGCAACTGACCAAAAGTAACAAGCTGGAAATCATGACGGTCCGCAATTTGGCGGGCTGTGATGTGTTTCCTTCTGATTACTTTTCATCATTTCGGTACCTCAAAGTTTTATGGTTGGAGATTGCGAACGTGTCTCCATTTAGTGAGTTCCCATCCTCGGTTGCGGATCTCCAAGAGCTTCAGGTGCTGGTCATTCATGTATCTGGGGCAACATTGACCGTTGACCCAGGAGCGATTGAGGCGCTCACTCAGCTCAAAGTCTTGAGAACATCTTCCATCTTCTTTCTTGCTAGGAAAGCACTTCAGGAACAGGTGTCTGCACCCAAGAGGTCACCAGTCAGGAGGCTGTCATGCTGCTTGGAAGAGGCAGCAGGTCTGGGTACGGATGACACAGAAGTGGCTGTAGTACCTGACGAGGTTCTGCCCAAGCTTCTGAGTTCACGATTTATCGAAGATTTCTCAATCAGGGTTGATAAGCTTCCTGGTTATGGCCATCATAGGTATGGTGAGATTCAGGATAGCACTTTGCCCTCTGCGATTGGACAACGGACAAGACTGCGCTCGATAGAGATCGAGGGTTGCAGATTGTTAAAGGTGTTGCCAGACAAGATAGGCTGCCTAAGCAAACTTGTCACGCTAAGCATCAGGTATTCATCTCTGAGAATCCTGCCTTCCACCATTGGTCATCTGTCTTCTCTTACTCGCTTCGAAATTACAGATTCACACCTTGAATCCATCCCCCATGAGATTGGCAGTCTGCATAAGCTGGTCGAGTTTTCCATTGTGACTTCATCTCTTGCGAGTCTTCCACCCACCATTGGTAAGCTCACATCACTGAGGTTGCTGAAAATCGCGCATTCGAAGCTTACATCCATTCCTGACGAGATAGGGAACTTGGGAGCGCTTGTTCATCTTGAGGTCACTCGTGCCAGGTTAACGGCACTTCCCTCAACCATTGGAGATCTTGTGCATCTGACATGTTTAGACTTTTCCCAGTCGTTCAGATCTTGTTCCCAACGTGCTCCTGACGGAGTGTGGAAGCTGACTGCCTTGCGAAAACTTGGGCTGTCATCCTCAGGCCAAGCACCATGCCTATCCACAGAAATCGGAAACCTGGTCCACCTCAGAGACTTGCACATTGTGCGTTCTCCGACCATCGATTTGCCAGAGTCAATTAGTCGATTATCCCAGCTGACTTGTGTTGTCCTGTCCTTTGCATACCAGCGGTGTGATGAGGTGTTTGCTGTCCCCATGCATCCTTTGCGTGGGCTTTCTAATGTGACTATAACCAGTCTGAAGCATTTAGTCTTATCGTTTTGCTCAAACCTTCACAGCTTGCCAGCGAATATCGCTCAGCTGACCAATTTGGAAAGGTTCGAGCTAAGCGAATGCCCGCACCTGGCGAGTTTGCCTCCCGAGATCGGAAACCTGAAACACCTCATGGTTTTGAAGTTGACCTCGGCGTCGATCACGGAGCTTCCAGTGTCTGTGGGGAGCTTGAGAAGTCTGATCAGCATCGATCTGTCCAACTGTGAGCTACTGGCCAAGTTACCATCAAACATTTCCAATCTGGGAAGGTTGAAGCAACTAGGCCTGTCCAATTGTCGAAGCCTCCGTTCGTTTCCCGACGGCATAGGGCAGCTGACAAACCTGGAGTCCGTTAACCTCAGAGGCTGCTCAGGACTGTCGAGACTACCCAAGGAGTTTGGCAATCTGACGAACCTAGGGTCCATTGATCTGACATCATCATCTCTGACAGAAATGCCTGTATTTTTTAGCAGACTGGACGGGCTGACGGAACTGGACCTGTCCTGTTCCGGCTCTCTTGTTGAGTTGCCTGGAGGAATCGGACTCCTGACCAGATTGAGGTCATTGAATCTGCAGGATTGCGTGAGTCTGAGGGCTCTTCCTGATGATATTGCAGACCTTACGGGTCTGGAAGAGATTGAGCTCGCTGGTTGCAGGAAGCTTTGTTCTCTGCCTGTGGAGTTCGGCCGGATAAGATATCTGACGTCATTGAATCTGAGTTCTTCTGGTGTAACAGAGCTCCCAGTGTCGATAACAAGGTTGGACAGACTGACAGAACTGAAGCTGTCTTCTGCAAGCGAGCTTGTTCGGCTTCCTTCAAGAATGTCAGGATTGAACTGTTTGAAATCACTAATTCTGCGTGACTGTGTGAACTTCCGCGCTCTGCCTAACAGCATAACAGCACTCACTAACCTAGAAATATTGAATCTACATGGCTGCAGACAAGTGACCTGCCTACCCCGGGAAATCGGAAACCTTGTGAACCTTCAGATTCTGCGATTAGGGTTTTCAGGAGTGCAAGCGTTGCCTGACTCAATCAGGAGGTTGCAGGGTCTGACAGAGCTTGACCTGACCTGGGCCTGCGAGCTTGATCAGTTGCCGACCGGCATATCTGGACTCGTCAGCCTGACATCCCTCAATGTGCAAGGCTGTGTGAAAGTGAAGACCCTTCCAGATGGTATTGTAATGCTAACAAGCCTAGAAGAGCTGAGTCTATACGGGTGCAAGCACTTGACTCGTCTGCCTGAGCAATTTGGAAATCTCAGAAGACTCAGGTCTCTGTGCCTCAGTTATTCTGGCCTGAAAGAGTTGCCTGCCTCTATGAGCGGCTTGGATGCGCTAACTTCGCTCGACCTAGGTTGCTTTTCTGGCTGTTTCCTTCACTTTCCTGCAGACATTTCTGGTCTGAAAAGGCTGGAACTGTTAGATTTGCAGGACTGCCAGAACCTGAAAGCTCTGCCAGATTGCGTATCCCAGCTTGTGAGCCTCAAGGAGTTGAACGTTTCTGGATGTAAGGAGCTGAGACATCTCCCTACAGATATTGGGAACTTGGAAAATCTTCAGCTGCTGAATCTCCGCTCGTCAGGTCTGACAGCATTGCCTGCCTCCATCAGCAACTTGGGGAAACTGATGGAGCTTGACCTGTCCTTTGCAGGAGAGCTCGCCCAGTTACCAGCAGAGATCTCAGGGCTGAAGAGTCTGCGATTGCTAAATCTACACAGCTGCGCAAGCCTCGAGTCCCTGCCAGATGAAATGACTGTCCTGATGGATCTGGAGGTCATGGACGTGAGCGGCGGTAAGCACATAGAGTATCTTCCTATGGAAATCGGAAACTTGACGAATCTCTTGGTCCTAAGCCTTGCTTCTTCTGGTGTCATAGAGTTGCCCTCGTCAATTAGCAGACTTGGAAGGCTTGCTGAGCTTGATCTATCCAGCTCCTACGGTCTTACCGAGTTGCAGCCAGCCATTTCAGCCCTGGAAAGTCTGACCAGATTGGATCTGCGGTACTGCACAAGTCTGACAGCCCTGCCAATTGGGATTGGAAATCTGACAAGGCTCCAGGCTCTGGATCTGAGCTCTTCCGGTGTCACACATTTTCCATCATCCCTCTACATGTTGAATGCGTTGACATCCCTTGATCTGTCTTGCTCGGCTGGGCACGTGCCTGGGGAAGTGTTCACGCTAACTGGCTTGGTAAGTTTAAGACTGTGGGACTGTGTGAACTTAAGGACTATCCCGGAGAGCATTTCGCAGTTGACGAAACTTGTGTTCCTGCATCTGAGTGGGTGCAATGACTGCATTCATGTGCCATCGGAATTTGGGTGCTTAGTAAACCTTGAGTTTCTGAGTCTGAGTTCTTCCGGTGAGATACACCTGCCGCCCTCCATCCGCACCCTGCAAAGGCTAAGGTCGGTCGATCTGTCGTTTTCGAACGAGCATTTGCCGGTGGGAATTTCGGGCCTGAAAGGCTTGTCAAGACTAAATATATGGGACTGTCCAAACCTGTCATCTCTGCCAGACAGCATCACAGAACAGACAAATTTGGTGTTCCTCCACCTCAGAGGGTGTCGTCAACTGAACCGTCTACCTTGCAAGATTGGAGATCTGCAAAATATCCAGAGTCTCTCCCTGACCTCTTCTGGTTTGACAGATTTGCCGGCCTCCACTTGCAAACTCCACCAGTTGACCACGATGGACTTGTCCTGTTCTCCTCAACTTTCTAGGCTGCCATCAGGAATGTCAGATCTGACAAGTCTGACGAGATTGGACGCCCACGACTGCCCGAGATTGAAGTCCTTGGATGATGGAAGCGTGTGCCTGCCGAACCTGGAAGTCTTGGATCTTGCTGGCTGCAAGGAGCTCACCCGACTGCCGGAAGAGTTTGGCAATCTAAAGGCACTTACGCGTTTGACGTTATGCCGCACAGGTATTGTACAGCTGCCTTCCTCCTTTACCCAGTTGGAAAGATTGGTTGAGCTTGATCTCTCTTTCTCGGGCGAACTGACTCAGTTGCCAGCAGGCCTGTCACGACTGCAGAGATTGAAAATGCTTGATCTTCGTGGCTGTGAAAAACTGACCAATCTTCCGTCTGACATCCTGCAATTTGGCAAACGCACAAACGTCCAGCTGCTTGCTGATCCAAAGTTCGCCCTAGGCATGGCCTGGCAGCATGACGGCAGTGTAAGGACTTCAAAGAAGGTTCGGGTCTAGTGATGTGGGTATGGGTTGCCGCCTAGCTGGTCCTGCTGCACTTGACAATTATCTCGTTACGACAGCCACAACCTTACTGCCCCTGCCGAACAACCACCCCACTGCAACAACCTTATTTACTGCAGTAAGGCAGGTGAACACTATCCATAGGTACTGCAACAGCAAACACTATCCGTAGTTCAACTTGCTGCCTCTGAGAGCATCAGTTACTGCAGCAACAACTGGATCAGTTACTGCAGCTACAACTGACCAGCACCAACTGATCAGTTACTGCAGCAACAACTGGATCAGTTGCT